TTCTTTGCAGAAGTCACAGTTCCTCTAGTTGTCCATTCTCACTATGTCCACTGCTAATGCTAAGATCCGCTCAGAATTTTGAACAAGCAAGATAGTACACACAATCCTTATTTTGAACAGCCCCACTGCTGTGTGGCTTTGCATCTCTAACTCCATTTAATCTGTCTCTGTTTAACCCGCTAAACAAGCATTAATATTTGCATTTCGGAGCGTTAAAAAAATCTCATTTTTAAGTGGCGATCTCTGCCTAGTCTTTCCCTGGATGGCCGCTCCTTAGCTCTGCACTTGCAGAACAGCAGCGCAGAAGGAGGCAGAGTTTCCAACATGAGGCCTTTCACTGAGGTTCTGCTTGGGGTTACTGAGACATTCAATTATGCGGGAGAACAATGAAAGAAAAGCTGTCCCCAATGTAATTTGTGAGAAGAAAATAATGAGAAGCCAGTGAGGAAATAGTTTTCTGTAAGCTATAGCCATATTTAGGACTGGCAGGGATCCCTTGCGGCCAAGTTCAGTCCCATCCTAGTGTGGACAACCATGTTACATAGTTACCTTCAGAATTAACCAAAATCCATTACGGTACCAGTTGTTTCTTGCGCCTACTATTTCTCATGGGAAGCTGAGAACATCAACTTAATTCAAGGGCTCACTGCAAAACAGGTGCTTTGAACTGGGAAGTTACACTAGTTTTTCAATCTTTGCACTCAATTGGAATAAGCAAAAATACTGAAGATGTTCTCCATCCTGCAGAGAGAAGATACAGGTTCTATCAACACTGTCCTCACAGGACTCCCTTCCTTCTGTCCGTTAATCTTGCCTCTGCATATGAAGCTATTGCTTGTTTCTTTAGTTTACAGAGAACAGTCATTTTACATATACTTTGCACATACATTAAGAATATGCCCTTACTCTTCTCCAGAATCTCAGTTCTGAAACTGGCATCTCACCCACTGTGAGATGTTGGAAGCACCTGTCTGATTCTGATTTCCATGCAGTTGTGCTTTCAGTGCCACCACTACCGTCCAACGACGGCAACTGCGGAACTAACATTTTTTGCTATTCTTACACCTTAATCTAAGCTCTTAGAAGCTCCATTTCCTGCTTATAACTCTGTGGACGATCCTCTTCTAATCTAAATATTTTGTGCTGATCTTTCACAGTCGTCTTGTATCTGAAAAGCTTCCAGCATTTTTCTGCGTTAATACAGGCATTCTCCAGCATAAGCTGTTTGGTGCTTCAGATTTTTTTTTTTTTTTAAACATGCCTTTGGTACAGTCACAGCTCTATACACCACCCCCTCCCAGATATGAATCATCTGGCCATTAATTAAAATCTGCTACTAATCAATGCTTATTAGGCTGGCACCAACCAGATGCATTTCATGCTTGAATTTCATTCACTTTAATAAAACTGCTCTCATCTTAAAGCTTCCCCTATAATCTATATAGGACTATAAGCCATCATCACCGGGTTGAGTTTTTCATAAATGAATGGAAAATCTATCCCAAGAACACTTCTGGCACACAGATTACATGTGTATGTTATGCGTTCGCAAGTGATTCGTAAGTCTTGGTTTTTCTGTAAAACTTTTTTCACATTCGGTACATTTATAAGGCCTCTCTCCTGTGTGAGTTCTTTGGTGTCTAATCAGATCTGCATGGCGACCAAAGCTTTTACCACAGTCTGTACATATGTATGATGGTATCTGACTCTTTTTGGTGTGAATTTGCTTATGTTTTAGAAGTCCTATTTTCAGTTTAAAAGTTTTCTTACATTCTGTACACAGATAAATTCTTTCTCCTGTGTGGGTTTCCTGGTAAAAAAGGATCTCTCTGAATTTGTTAGATTCTCCGTCACCAAGAGAGCCGTTACCTGTTCTCCTTCCCATTGCCTGATCTGCTTCTGAATTCTGACAACTCTCAAAAGTTACCTCCTTGTCAGAAATTTGGCAAGTCAGGTCTTGCGATCCTCCTGAAAATGATCCATGCAGCTCTGTATTCTCTGAACTCTGTGCATGACTCTGCATCTCAGATTTGATCACAGTCTCACCAGAACCTGGAACGAAAAGATTCCAAACAGTCCCTTTATCTGACTTGAGCTGACAAAAATCTCCAAAGAATAAAAATTCCTGATTCATTGTGACTACAGCTATACAAATAAAGTAAGTTTTGGATAAAAAAGTAAGAATGTGCTATAATTCACCCACCATCTAAATCCTACAAGCCTGTGCCATTTCAGTGTATTGCAACTTTAATTTTTGACTGGTTTCAGGCCATCACACACCTGTGCTAAGACTTGCAGAAATGTATCTTTCCTCAATATCTTGCTGATCCTCGACATGCAGTGCTTCTCGTGACTGGGTATCATTTCGGGGAAGCGGATGGTCTGCATAAGGCACGTACAATGGAAATTATGGTTATTATTTTCCTCTTTTTTTTTTTGATTACAAAAGTGTCGCCTGGCCTACTTTAATTGTCTTGACGGACGCAAAGGATTGTAGGCAAAGTTGCACAGAGAGGTGCTGAAGAAGGCTTTTCATCAGGCAGTTCACTTTCAGTTTCTGAGGCATATAGTTTACTTTTGCCCTTTTTTGTCAGCATGACTCATTTTCATTAATATACATGAAAAATATTGCCTTTTTCTTTCCCAAATAAGCCTAACTGAAAGAGCTTTCAAGCCGAGCAACCAGAAACAGCCTTTTCCTCTCTTCATCACTCTTCAGTGTGGATTGAACAGACATCCAATAATTATATTTAAGGTTGCCTAGACACTGTTTTCAGTGACTTAGCAATATTTACCCTATAACCAATCTGAGATGAAATATCCATTCAGTAATGTATTGCTCTGACATATTAAGAAGTTCCTGCACCCTTTTCACAGAGAGGCTCTATCCTGTTAATGCCGTGAAGCAAGGACTTGCTGTTCGGGGGGGCACCAGCGTGGGCTATGCAGTTTTCTGCGTGCTGTGAACAAGTGAAAGTCTGCCCCAATTATAAACATCCAAAAGTTTCCATTTTTACAGACCTTGCAGATTTAAAAAAGGAAATTATCTGATAATTCCCTCTGTGCTGAACAACCTCCATACCCTGACAGCGCGGGTGCTGACATGATGCCCACAGGGTTGAGCGTAGGCAACCCAGAGCTACGGGTCTGCAACGGGACTTTCCCTGCCTCCTCCTCTGCCTGCCGGGGCAACAGCAACTGCACTGGAATCGGGAGGGTCTTCCTGTGCCCTCCGGGGTCCTGCTGCTGCCTGACGGGCAGAGCAGTGCGGAGGAGAAGGAAGTTGCCTGACTTACATGCATAAAAGGAAAGACGCTGGAAGTGGAAAGAATGAAAAGGGTGCAGAGAAGGGGCAGCTGGGGGCAAGCGTGGCACCTGGCAGCGAGCACAGCTGAGGTGGAAGAGGAGAACTCATAACAAGAGCAGACAGGGAAGATGCAAGAGTTGCAGAGGGTCTCTAGAGAACGACTGGGATGGAGCAAGAGCAGAAAGAGACAATCTGAAATTGGCAGTACAAGGAAGGAAAAGTCTAAGCACCAGGCAACATCTTGGGGCCTAGAACTGCCAGCAAACACTTTGTGCTGCTGTGCTCCAGCAAATACCTGTGTAACTCACTGTCTACATACCCCCTCTCTCGCCCTCCAGGCAAAGAGCCAATGAGGAGATAACAGTAAACTATTGCGGCAGCTGCTCTGGCATCTAAGAAGGGGGTCAGGAAGCAGGGTGCAGGGCAGTATCTATCTTCCAATTTTTTTTATATTTCAGAAATTATATCCAAAAGGTTGAAAAGCTAAGTGTTCAAAAATAGAAGAGCTTGAATTGACTATAACCATATCAGCTATCTGGTGCGCGTATGCAATGATTCGGCCCTAACTGTCTTTCCGATATACAACTTATTTTCCCCTAAGTAACTCATATACATAACATATATTTTTTTCTTTTCTTTTTTTTCTTTTTTTTTTTTTTTAAGATCAGAGTGGTACAAAAATTAGACGCTGCTGTCAGCAGAATCCAGTTCTTCTACTGTAGAAAATGGAAGGTATGTAAAAAATTTGTAAAAACAAGATTTAGATTTCCTCATTGTTCCTCTAAAGCTTCAAAGTAATTTCATACTTGAAACTACAGAAGTAGCAACAGAATGAGGCCAGGCTAAATCAGCATTTCTCAAACAGAACTGAAGAGGGTCACAAAGCATAAGCAGGAGTAAACAACTGAGGCTGCTGGAGTTCCCAGCAGCTCTCTTCCTCTAGCCTGGAGGACAAGTAAATGCACTTTTAGCCTATAACGAGAGCAGGTTCTTCCTTCTATTAATCCAAGCCATCAGCTGAAAACTGAGGAGCCGGAAGGGCTTCACACCTTCATATTTAAAAAACAATGACTTAAAACAAATGTGTAGTTAGACACTTACAACTAATAACGAGACCTAATTTTTTGGAACATCGTCCACGTTGATTTAATCATTTCTGCACCAAAATAGTTCAATAATCTTTAGTGAACCGCAAACACTGCGTGTACATCAGGATTTTAGGATTCATGATACTGTATTTCATTGCAAACTGCTCGTGATATTTCCAGACAAAAATTTCAATTAGAACAGATACTTTTCTAAATTCGTAAGTGAATCGAAACACACGAGAAGCTCTCTGACCAGCTCATTAGCTCGTGTATCTAAATCTCTTCCATTTGTTTCTCGTTTTACCGGTGGCACCATCAGAGATAATGACCTAAATCCCTTTCCCAGGGGAGACGCTTTCACTCCCTCTTACTTTATCCATATCACGCAGGCAAGGTATCACCTATGCACACAGACTAAACAGCGAGAGCGCAGAGAGAAAGCAGCAGATACGGAGGCATTAGAGAAGTGACTGTCCTTCAGTCTTACAGGAAAAAAGCTGGGTGGAACTTATCTTCTTTCACAAAGATCCAGAAGCATCTAAGCACTAATCCACTAGAAATCAAACCATTTGAGGACTGTTAGACGCGAGCCAGCCCAGAAACAGCGCACATCTCAGCCTCCAATGAGAAAGGGAAAACTAACCTTTACCCAATGAGGTTAAAGATTCATAATTCTCCTTTATCACTTTCTTGTAAAGTTCTGTTGGCCAGTCTTCTAAGTTCTTCCCCTCATGTGCTGCAACAGTATCAAATGTCCCAGGGACCTAAAACAAAAAGTGTTCAACGCTTAATGCCATTTGCAAGTAGCCCGTCTTTGAAAGCCCTCTTTTTCAAACAGTATCAAACGTGCTATCATCAGCCAACTGTTTCTAGCAGCGCCCATGTTACTGTATATCCAGGATACTACTTAAGGATCTAAATAAGAATCTTTACTGTTATTTCTGTGTGCACTTAAGAATGAGTATAACTATTTAAAAGATCTGACAACTCAACTGAAACAATGACTCTAAAATAACTGAGTCAAAAATTGGTGGGGAAGAAAAACTATGGTCATCATGGACACCCATGTCAAAGAAATCGACTCTTCTATACACTGAGAAAAGAAAACACTCAAGATTGTAGTTTAAATATCTTAAGTCCTGAGGCAGGTCCACTGTCTGTCAGATCTGGCTGTCGAGTTTTTCCCCTAATAATAAAACTTAAAGGTTAAGATAAACAAAGGAAAAAGTAAATCTTACAAATACTGAGAGATGAATACTCTATTTTTGCAAACGTTGATTGAAGGAGGAATGTTAAAAGTATATGCTGTAATTTCTCCCGAATTTCTTTCAACTTTAATCTAGATTTTTCTTTTTTTTGGAGATGAACAGTGCTGAAAGCAGTTACTGTCACTACAAACTTCTTTTATCTGCTCCTTCACTGCCTAGACATGACGTGCTTTGTTTAGCTTCAACAGTGTTTTTTCGACAGCATTTTACTCCTAAAGTTTAAGTAGCAACCTGCCGAGCTGAATTAATACTTGCTCAATCTATACTGCTCTTCCCAAACCCACTAGCTGTACAGTGACACTGAGAATGAATTTATACTTTGCCTTTACATGCTATTACCTTTATATATTACCTGCTGTATATGCATACGTATTGTTAGTATTTTATATTCATATTTTGTTGAGTGTTTCTACATGCTTGCCTGTGAATAACTTTTACTTTGCTTTTCGGCCAGATACACGTCTCGCTGGTTCAGAAGTTTTGCAGCGTGCACAGCATACCCAGCTGCACAAACCTGATGCCAGCAGAAACCATTTGGCAAGTTAAGTTTTATAAACTTGTCACAAGTTTGGATCACAATCCAAACTGAACAGTCGGGAAAGAAGCTTGAGCAGAAACCAAGGATTTGTCTCACAGCCCCAAGCACCCACCCTGCAGGCACTATGCCACCATCTCAGTGAGTCTAAAGGACGTTTTTGTAAGCATAAGAACTACTGAGTACAAGTACAGGTTTGCAGGAAGAGAATCCATTTTACAGCACAAAGTGGGACTGGATTTCCAATAAATATCATGCTTTTTTCCCCAACAAACATTTACACACAACATTGGAATTTGACCACAAAGAGAAATGAAACCAGTCATATCACCAGCATCATTTTTATTGTGTCAAATAGCATGTTTCATGTGTCGCTGCTTCCTTGAAGAGCTTTACGTGCAGATACGCACTTATTATCCTCCTTTAATTTCACAGAAGTAAATACAGTGGCAAATATCTTAGTTACCTTCAAGTGTTCGGGATTCCGGATTCGTTTTCGAGTTTTATTACTTATTCCACCACAGAAACTTCGAGGCGTTCCAACAAGCCAGTTTCCGTCTTCACCCAGAATGAATTTTTTGGGAACAGCTTCTTTCAGGAGGCGTCTGTTTTTTCTAATTTTTAAGGGGTCAATTTCAAAAGAAGTGTCCTCAAAATGCTTAGAACAGAGTCGCTGATGTTTAGAAGGTGTTCCCATGTCACGACCCATGTTATGAATCCACTGCTTCAAGAGAGGTTTATTTTGCAAAGGAAAACCATAGAAAGTAACCGTACTGTTTTTATACACCCCACTGGTAGCATTTTGACAGTTCAGGGCTGAGCAATAAACCATTGTAAAGTGAGAAATAAGAACAAATCCAAAAATAATGTGCCAGGAGGAGGGTTTCAAGACTTTTTAATCAACTATTGCTTTAATAGACCTAAACAACTCAAGAAAAAACATGTGACTGACAGAAAGAGCCGAGTTCACGCAGCCGTGAAACGTGGTGCTGAACTTCACTGAAAGAGACGTGGACCTCACCGTAGCTGGCATCTGTGACACGCAGAGATAAAAAGTCAGGCTGCTTTTTCCTCACACCAACCAACAGCATATGGCTTCCCCAACTGAGTAACTGTATATGATCTGAAAGGGAAAAAATCTTTTAAATCAGCTTAACGGACCACTACTACACAAAGTTATGTTTAAAGCAACTTCTACTATGTATGCAAATAGATACATAAACATACATGCACTTCATCAACTAGTGTATCCGTGAGGAATCCTAACACACTCCATCACAAAGCTTAATACGCAGTTACTCAGAAGGCAGCAGCAGAAGGGTGATAGCCAAATACTTTCCAAAGTGCTAAAGCTTGGGTTTACACGTGCAGAACTGAAATGAAGACTTCCCCCTCATAACAGCTGCACATTGGAGAAGGCGAGCGCCAGGGGAAACGGTACTTGGGATAACAACCAGGGAGGAGGAGTAGGAGGTCTCTGCACAGGCACAGAGGGGAGGGAACCACAAATATTCACTGCTTTAAATAAAAAAAAATAATAATAAAAAAGGAATTATCAGGGCGTGCGCGAGCCAGGGGAGCCCAGGAAGCGAACGGGCCGCCCGGCGCAGGCCGGGAGCGCTGCTGCACTGAACCACAGCCCAGACCTGACTCCAGCCAACGCTCCCCCACCCTCACCGGGCCTGGGCGCGCAGTCACGCTTCACAACCCCGCCCGGGGCCGGACGCGGGAGGACATCGG